CCAAGAGGAAGGTGCCGATGGGCTAATGTTCAGTGCCCCCAGGGCCTCATACAACTGCCACTACATGATAATGGGTTTGGGTAAATATTTGTGGACTCCAGTCAGAAATTGCAGCGCCCTGCCAATGGCTCCCCAGTTGGCCTTGACTTTGCTGGTGCAGTGTTCGTTTGTGTCCTGGCATGTTCTCCTCATTCAAGTCACGTTCCTTTCCCTTCTCTTCCTGTTTCAGCCTCTTGCCATCTCTCCTCACCCTCCTATGTCTGTACAAACTCTTGTGGGGGGGGAGGGGCTTTTTTTCTAGCATGTTGGGAATACAACACAGACGTTCCTCAGACTTGCTTCTCTCTCCCAGGGAGTGTTTTTCGGAAGTAATTGTGTTTCTGGGTACTCAGGATAGCGTCCCTCTAGCTCTTTTGCAATCATTCCTATTTTCCCCCTTTCAGTCCTTAACTCTCCCAGTGCTACTCACCAGCAGCAACCTGTCTCTTTGTCACCCTTCAGTGCCCATACTTCCACCTCCCCCACCTCGAATATTCCCTTTCTTCCTATCTTGCACTGATTTTTATTGTTCTTTTACCTCGTGGAAATTTCAGCTTGTTGGTCTTAACGAATGTCATCCAAGCCTGGCCCTCCTGCAGCTTCCTGCCCTAGTTCAAGTTCATTACTTTGACTTACATAGCAGCAGGAAGCAACAAGATGCAGTCCTTAGCAGGTTAGCTTCCTGCACTCCTTGCTAAGTAGATCATGATATTCAGAAGCCCCAGGAGGGAGGATGAGGCCTGCAGTAGTGAATTTTGTTCTTTCCTTCCGCAGTTGCTTGTTTAAAGATTCAAACAATTTAGCCACATATAGTGTTTTAGTCACCGTCTTGTGTATTCTTTGAAATGTAACCCAGATGGTGGGGGAGGGGGATGTGAGTCCAAAATGGTGGTCCCATGTCACCCTGCTGGGCCTGTGCATTTCTCATTCCCCAGACCAATGATGTTTGGTGGAAGAGACTTCAGATGCTTGCAGGTGGTATATGAGAGACCTGGGCCTCTGAGGATTGGTCATTTAAAGAGAATTACCAAGGCTGGATTGCAGGCAGAGTGGTGATGGAACAGCCAACGGGTTTTGGGTGATGATTGCTGCATCAGGACCCCTGAGGCCACCTTTCCCAATTTCCCACATTTCTAGACAGTAAGATCACTACACTCTAAACTTTGAAAAGAGATAAGAATCTATGCCAGGACTCACACTGGGGTCTCTAACAGGGTTTGATGGTGCCATGGGGAAGGTAATGATTGGTGTTTTGAATCGATTCCCTGGGCTGGCACCTACTAGCTGCCTGGCCTTGATCTATTTTCTATCTTTGGGTGCAGTATTTTCTATCTTTGGGTGCAATGCATAAGGGGAGAACCCAGTCATGTGGAGGTCGAATCAAATAAGATGATACATGCAAAGTACTGTGTTCAGTGTCTGGCTTATCTAGTGCATGTTCAGTAAATATTTTCTATTATTTGTCATTACACTTTTAAATGATTATATCCACCGGCAGCTGACCTGATACTCTATAGCTGGCCACAGAGAGCAATTCAGATTTCAGTTCTCTCTCTGCACCAAGCCCTAGAGCACTTCCTGCAGAGAAGGCTGGGATGAGTGTTCCAGAGAGCCCACCCCTGCCAAGGCCTCCTGAGAGGCTGCCAGAGCACAGGCAGGAGACTGGGGCTGGAACCCCCACCCTGCCTAGGTGTGCTTCTGCAAGCTGCTGAGATCTGCGGTGCCTCAACTTTCTTATCAGTAAAAATGGTTCTGGAAGCCTTCAGTGAACTGACCTGTGGGAATTCCTGTGACTGCCCACCACATTGTGAGTGATCAGTAAATGTCAGATATTACAGTCATCATTAACCAGACCTCCCAGACCTTACCTTGGTCTGGGGATGATTTTAGTTTAAGGGACTTAGTGAAAAAATTTGCCTTGAGATTAGAGTTGTCTCAGTTCTCCTGAGATGAGTGGAAATGGGTAGATAAACGGGGTGGGGGCGAGGGGATGAAACCTAAAGCCAGACTTCTAGGAAAGGGGATTATTTATTTATTTATTTTGGAAAGGGATTTATAACTTGTGGGTGTTAAACTAGGATCTCCTGAAGAGGACGTTTCTCAATCTGGATCTGAATAGAGCGCTGTCAGAGTTGGTGTCGAGCTGTGTATCAGCAGGAAGAGTCTGTAGGAAAGATGCTATTTGCACACATACTCAGGAGCCAGAGCTGAGAAAACCCTTGGAGAGGGAGATGAGGGGGGCCCACCCTAATTATTTCTCCAGAGGAGGCCTGAAGAACTCTCCCTTTGATCTATGATAATTAAGAAAGGAGGGAAAAGTGAGAGAATTATATTTTAATCAATAAAAAATTCAGAGGTAAGTCCTCCCTGTTGACCGAGGGTGGCCAGTTCCACCACTGTGACAGCCCCCCAGAGGTTGGCCTGAGTTCGATCCCTGAACAGGGAGGTGACCCAATGGCACAGCAGACCTCTCCTGTCTCTCTCCTGCTCTCCTCAGCAGTAGAACTGCCTATTCTCCTCCTCAGTCTATCGCTGGTGAATCCTCTTACCTCCTTCTACCTCCTCCCTGCCCCCACACCTCTGGTGTAACCCCCTGTTCTTCTATGCAAAAATAAATAAACATTAAAAAATAATGTAAATAATGTAAAAAATACTGAGGTCCTAAATGCTCTATGTTAAACAGTTTGAAGCAAATCCTTCTGTGAACTAGACCCTCCTCCAAGTGGGAGGAGCACGTCACCCTCCGCAGGTGAAGCCAGACTGTGCACTGTGTCTTGAGCATCCCTCCCCAGCACTTCCTCCGTGGCTGAGGACTGGAGTGGGGAATGAGCTGCTCTGTTCACTGATCCAGGGCATCCCTCTGAAGCATCATTTCTGTTGGTCAGCTTTGGGCCCCGTGTTCCCAGCCACAGTTCCACAGTTCCTGATGATTTTGACAGAGTTCCCTGTGGACACTTGAGTCGGATCTTCTCCGATGACTGCAGGGACTTTCAGAAAGGTGGTGGTTTTTCACCTCCCAACTGGAAGACAACCCCATTCTCCTGGCATCAGAAGCAGATGTTTTGCCGTGTTCTGTGGACCTTGCCCCTGTTAGGCTGCCCAATAGGAGAGGCCAGTGCTCACCACACCTTGGCCAGTAACTTGGGTGACCCAGCTGGTTGACATGTTTTAATTAAGATTTCAGAGGCTCTTTAAAGAAAAGGTCCATCCTCTGCAGCTTCAAAGTCTGTATGAACAGCCACTCACTGTGGGTGACAGGTAGGCAGGGTGATGCCCACTGCTGGTGGACCAGCACTCCAAAGGGAGGACCCGAGGAAAAAGAACTAATTCACAGCGCTGCACCTTTTTCTTCCTTTTTTGAAATCAGCTAAGATATGTTGTGCCTTAAAACCACTTTTCCCTTATTGGGGGCGGATACTGCCTGTTGAGAATGGACATGCAGTCTGAGACTCAGGACTTCCAGCCCCTCTCTGCAGAATGGGTGACTTGGGTGAGAAGCAGAGTGCCTGTCTGAGCCTCAGCACCATGCGCTGCTGAGTAGGGAGAATCCTGGCCAGCTGCCCATTTTTCTCTGCCTCCAGTGTCCAGTGTTCCACTTGCACAAAGCCCAAGTGGCTGTCTTTGGGAAAACATCTTGCCTTTAAGATAATTTTCTTGCTTGTTTTTTTTTCTTAAAAGTGAAGTCAACATCGTTTTAATAAGTCACGGGGCTGTAATGGTCAGCATGGTGAAAACAGTTAATAATATCATATTGTACATTTGAGTGTGGCTAAGATCTAAAAAATTCTCATCATGTGGTGCAACGGGTTAGGACACAGCACTGCAAGCTGGCCACAACCACTTCAGTGTGAGTTTGGGCCCAGAACTGACCCACATGGTGCAGCAGATCTCTCCTGTCTTGCCCACAGCTCCCTTCAGCAGTGTACTTTGTCAGTCTGCCTGTGCTGTTCCCCACTCTGTCTCTGGTGAATCCTCTCACCGCCCATGCACCTCTGGCCTATACCCCAGTTCTGTATGCATAAAAAAAAAAAAAAAACTTTGGGAAAAAAATCCTCATCACAAAAAAAAAAAAAAAAAAAAACTTTGGGAAAAAAATCCTCATCACAAGAAAAACATCTGTAACTATAGGTGTGGTAATGGATGTTCACTAGACATTGTGGTGATCATTTCATACTCTGTCCAAACAGTGAGTCATTATGGTGTATACTTGAATATAGTGTTCTATCTCAATAAAAAATAGAATTAATAATTCAATAGGAACTAGCATATTTTAGCATCTCCAGTACTGCCAGCTGATGTCCATATCAGAGCTTATCTCTCTGTCATTCTGCCAGCTTTGACTAGTGTTCTTTTTAGAAATACTTGTTCATTTGAAAGGAGAGATGGTAACTCATTTGCTGTTGGAATTAGCATTCTTATGAGAGCTACTAAGGGTGAAATTTTAGATCTTTTCATCTTGTTGAATGGTGAAAGATGAATCAGTTTTATCTCCCTAGTCTACTGACTGTCCCACCTCATTTCAAGGCCAACCTCTGCACTGGCTGGCCACACCTCTTATCTGCTGGGAAGCTGTATCTCTACTGGAAATTTTGTTCGCTCCTGTGTAGACCCCAGACTGGCCTCATTGATGAGCTCTTGATAGCAATACCCTCTTCTGCAGTCCCCAGGCTGCACAATTCCAAATTGATGGCTCATGGAGGCTTGGACAATTCCTGGAAGGTTCACTTTTATATAAGTTGGCTCAAGTCCAGAAGTGACTGTATGTATTGGACTTACTTATAGTGGCCAGTTTCTTGTGGTATTTTTGGCATTTCAAGAATGTCACACAGTTTTCAGAAATGATGCCACTACCTCTTCATGGCTGGAGGCCATGCCACGGACATCGGTGCGGAGCTGTCTCCTAGGCAGTGGGTCAGTTTCAGCTCTCTTCAACTCATGGTTCTATCGCTTCTTTCTTCCAGGGGATGGCCAGGTGGATTTCGACGAATTCATGACAATTCTCGGTCCCAAACTGGTGTCTTCAGAAGGTCGGGATGGTTTTCTTGGAAACACAATAGATAGCATATTCTGGCAGGTAAGTAAGAATTTTTTTAAGATTAAGTTTAACGGTCAACATGTGTCTGTAACTTATCACTGAATTCTTGAGCTTCTGTTTAGCTCATGGAGATCACTTCTGGGCTGGTGTCACATATATTCCTTGAATAGGATATCTACATTGAGGTTCTTACTAAGTCCTCTAAACAGAGAGTCAAAAGTATACTCATTTAAGATTTAGAAGAGTGAAGTATCTCTTTCATCTCCTTATGCCAAAAACATTTTTACATTTTGGAGGAATGAGGGTCTTCCACTTCTGAGTCATGAAATTCTTTCTCCTTGGACTCTTAGGTCACACTGGTATTATTTGAGCCCAGTTCTGTCCCTGGTTCCAGGAGATCCTTGCTGGGAGGATGGAATGGTTGCCTTTGTGTTTGGATCTTGTCAATACAAGTAAATACAAGTGAGCAGCCTAGGCCTGTCACGATGTGAATTTGAATAGGATGGGACAATGAGCAAAGGAGAGAGTGGGTCATAAGTGGCAGTTTGAAAGGAAAGGCCTCAGACCCAATGGGGTGATAGATTTGAGGAAAAAGATCAGTTAAAGATTGTTCTGAGATTTCCAACTGTCTACTACTGATAGTAGAGCTGAATTCTAAAGTGATATGTTGAGTGTAAGGTGAGGGTCAGATAAGCAAGAGAAGGAAGAAAGTCTGTGCAGCTGAAATCAGGACTGGGTCACAGGCTGAGGCCAGAGCTGCTGCTGTAGATTTGGGATTCATCAGAGCTGGTGGGTCATATTTAACTTTTAGGTATGACTCCACACTTGGAAGGACAGATACGTCCCCAGCAGAAATGAAAAATGAACGTCATCTTATCTAACATGGAGAAAGATTGTTCTCCCATGACCTTTTTTCAGCCCTTCCAGATCCACACTGGACACGTTTCTGCCCCTTGTTTCTGTCCTTCCCTGCTTGCCCTTTCTCCCCACTCTGAGTGCCTTCTAGTCACCCAGCCTTCAGGACACACTGAGCCTGGAGAATTGCTGGTGCTTCCAAGCTCAGTGCTCTTCTGACCCCCACCTCAGGGGAAGGTGCTGTAGGTACCTGATCAGCACCGTAAGTCAAGGCTTCAAGTCTTCCAAGTTTTTCCACAGTGGAGCATCTACACAGCCAAAACCCCAAACCAAGAAACAATATTTCTTTTATAATATATTGACTGTCTTTAGCATCATGCAGCATGCTATTATGCTCTGTGTGTGTCTTACCAAACACGCTCCTCCTTCCAAGGCTGATAAACAGGATGGGGAGAAGAGAATAAAGGGAAAATTCCATTCTGAAATAGTTAAATGAACGCAAGCACCCCAGATTTGTGGTTATGGCTTTCCTCTCCTGATGGTGCTTATCCAGCTCAAACTTTTATGATTAGCAGAGAAGAGAAACATTGATCATTCTCAGTAGTCAGCCGCCTCTGCTGACCCCCAATCCCTTCTGCCCATTCAGAAACAGCAGCAAAAAATGGTACTGAAACATCCAGAGCAAAAATTGATACTGAAAACATCCATAGTACTCTGTTCTTCCTGGAAAATGTTTACATTCTCAGCACTTTAGTGGTTTCTCAGTTTTAGAAGGATGCTGTGTGCACGTGTAAACATGTGTGTGTAAGTGTGCATGTGTGCATGCATACATGTGCATATGTGTGCTATGTGTGTTTGCTCTGGGGGTTGATGATGGCCTACATGAGCAGCAGAAAGATGGTTTCTGCCTCTGGTTAGCTGGCAAGGGATATTAATATAAGGAAGCTCTGATATTCTTAGGAGGATGCAGACCATCTGTCTTTGACACTGACCAGACTTCCCACCAAGGACAAAGTCATTTTCCCATGGAAACAGACATAATGATATAGTCGGAAGGGTGCATTAGTGATCTACTCGGTACGTAATCTATTACAAGAAAAGCAGGTGACATAAATAACAACCACCCATATTTTATGTCACACGGTGTCTGCAGGTCAGACACCGTGGTTTTGGCCAAGCTCTCCCACAGGTGGCCGTCAAGATGCTGGCTGGATGGTAAGCATCTATAAGACTGTAAGGCTTGATGGAAGTTGAAGGATCTGCCTCCAGGGAGTTCATTTACATGGCTGGCAAGTTGACACTGGTCATGCTGTTATAGCAAGGGGAGGCTGGCTGCTGCATCCTTCCATGAGTTGCTCTCCATCGTGTTACTTAGAATGTGCTCATGCCATGGCAGTGGGCTTTTCTGGAAGTGAGAGACCCAAGAGAGTCCAGGCAGAAGATAGGATGTCTTTTATGACCTACCTTAGCAGTCAGATGCCTTTGTCTGCACCTTGTGCTGGGTTACTCAGGTCATCCCTGTGCACTGTGGGAGAAGACTCCTCCAGGTCAGTACTGAGAGGCAGGAATGACTGGGGGTCATCCTGGAGATGGGCTGCCATGTAGGTGGAGAGCCTGTAATTGGGCTTCGACTTTTGGTTGCTGCCAGCGCTGCTGTCACTGCCTTTTATGTTCCTAGGCTTTGGTTTCTCTCTGCCTTCAGGGAAACCTGTGACAGTGACTGTTCTCTGTGCTCTGATAAGTGATCCTACCAGGCACTGGCCTTATCTTGCGAGTTACATCTGTTCTCCAGTGCGCTTTTCTTAGTGGCATTCCAGCCAAGATGCCCAGAGTAAAATAAGAGCAAATGGGATGCTGCAGAAACAGCTACCTGTCAAGTGGGCTTGTCTCAGTAATTATGATTCCCTGACTGCAGGAAATTGGTATCAGCGAAGAGGGAATGTTACTGGCTACTAATGCAGCCTCCTACTCAAGGAGGGGTATCTGGGAGCCCTGCCCCGGAGTCTGTCTCCCCAGGCTTCTGAATCAGATTTCTTGATAGACAATTCAGAACATTTTTCTTATGTAGAAGATGAAATTTGGGCTTCTTTACCTTCATTTATCAAGTTACTCTGTGTTTGCTGTTACAGCGATGATATTTTTGGGAAGGAAATGTGAAACTGCTTAGAGTCCACCTTAGGACTTGGTCTGAATTAAGGGTGAAGAGGAAGGGAGGGAGAGGCTGAAAGGAACTGGGACCCAGGACTGGGGGAGTTGCTGTCACACCTGTGCTTCTGGTTGGCTCTAACTACCGAGCAGTGGGGTCTCAGTCCCTGGTGCCCCATTGTTCACTTGTGTCCCACCACATCAGTCCTCTTGCGTCAAGAATGACTTTTTAAACAAGATTTTATTTTATTTTTGCATACAAGAATTGGGGTTCAGGCCAGAGGTTGGGGGTGGGGGAGAGGATTCACCAGAGACAGAGTAGGGAGCAGAACAGGTAGATTGACTGAAATGCAGTGCTGAGGGGAGCAGTGGGTGAGACAGGTGAGGTCTGCTGTGCCATGTGGGTGACCTCCCTAGTCAAGGATTGAAGTGCTGTAGTGGCTGTGATAGCTGCAAGGTGCTGAGACTATAAGCCCTGCATCACCAGGGAGGCCCAAGAGTGACTTTTTAAAAAAAGATTTGTTTATTTATGCATACAGAACTGGGGTACAAGCCAGAGGTGCAGGGGTGGTGAGAAGATTCACCAGAGACAGAGTGGAGAGCAGAACAGGCTGACTGATGAAGTACACTGCTGAGGGGAGCAGTGGGTGGGTCAGGAGAGGTCTGCTGCGCCATGTGGTCACCTCCAGGGCAGGGATCGAACTCATGTGGAAGTGGCCTTAGTTTCTTGGTGCTGTGCTTTAACCTGCTGCGCCACCAGAGGGCCCAAGAATGACTCTTTAATACAGTAGATGATTTTAAGTAGTAGAGGAGAGCACCCCACTTCTGTATCCCAAGGTTTACCTGAGTCCCCTTTGCAGGACTGTACCTTGGCTTCTGCACGGAGCTAACCTGTCTGCAGTGAACTTGTACACAGCACACGTAGCCAGGTAATGACAAGGAGCCAAGGATTCAGGGAGATCAAGCAGCTCTGCTCCTTCCCATTAGATTTTTCTCCTTGTAAAGACAGAATCTTCCCACCCTTAGAGCACTAACCCCTCAGCGTGTCATAATGTGGTTGCCAGAAGGTGCAGGCACCTGAGCTCTGTCGAGAACTGAGCTCCTTTGCTCACATGCCTTTTAGTCACAACCTCACTGCTCAAGACTTCACTAATGTTGAGTTTCTGTTTTATTTATTTACTTGCTTGTTTTTGAGGTAACATTGGTTTACAACACTGTATATGACTTAGGGCAATAGGGTCTGTCTCTGCATCTAGCTGCCTCAGACGCATGTTAGACTTTCTGTTTTAAGAAATGAACTGCATTAATATTTAAGCAAGTAGATCTGTTTATTGGATGGTGCTTGGTGTGTAGAAAGGAGCCTGAGGCCAGACATTAAGAAACAAGAAAATTGTAGGGCTCTCTGGTCTTTGTGCGCCAAAGTATTGCCGAAGTGGCTGGGGACTCAAACTGGTTACTTATCATAATTATCAAATTGGTGGTTACCTGTCCGATGAGGGTGAGTGCTGATAAAACCTGTGGGAAAGGCAATGAAAAGTCCAGAAGAAATCAAATTCATTCATGTGAGGCCTTTGATGCCTGGGGTTGAGACCTAGAAAGCACTTTCACTTTTTTACTGGAAAGATAGCTGGCGTTAGTTAGGCAGAGATGCTTCACACATCAAATGTGGTACGAACAGGATTGCTCTCCCCCCAGTGTTTTGTCAACGTGCCACTCCATCAGCGCTTTGGATCCAAAGCTGCTGATTCTCAGTTATTAATCATCTAATGGAACCTAAATAGCTTTCAGCAGCAATGCCCATCACCACGCCTTTGAGATTGACAGCGAGCACTTGAATCCCCAAAGTGATGTTACAGCAGGTGCAATATGGAGTATTGAAAGCGGGAGTCTGCAGTGCCCAAAACGTGCTGCTCCTGAGCCAGCAGCTGCAGCATCTGGGACTGCCGGGCATGCAGATGCCCAGGCCCACCCTGGGAAACACTGAATCAGAGACATTAGGGTTTTGGGGGGCAGCATTCTGGGTTTCAGCATGTCTTTGG